GAGCTATATTATATGTATTGTATATTTGTTTAGAAATATCTCGAAAAGCTATCAATAAAGTTGTTTTTTCATAAAAGAATAAAGTAGGGGTTATAGGAATTAGTATAGTTAAAAGATAACATTGGGAAAATAGAATGATTATTTGCAAGTAAATCTGCAAGATTGTTAAAAGTGTCATCAGAGTGGGCTTGAACTTTAAAAAAGGAGAATTGAATATTAAAGGTTTTTAAGATATGGGGGTGAGTCAATAGAAATCAAGCAAATTTTTTATAATAAAAATTTTTTATAACTTTAAACAAGAATAACTAAACAAAAACTTGACCAAATTTAATGAGAATTTTTTTTAATAATTTTTACGGACTTGTAGAATTAATTTAAAAAAAATTTTATTGAATTTTATCAAGTTTTTGTTAAGTTATTCTTGTTTAAAATTTTAAAAAAAACTTATTAAAAAATATTTGCTTGGTTTCTATTGACTCAACCCCATATTAAGAAGTATATGCCAAATAGGCCAGAAGTTAAATTTGAAATATTTGGTAGAGTGAGAAAATAAAATAAGAAGTTTGTTATATTTAAATATAATTAACTGTAAATCAGTATAGATTTGTAGGCTGAAGTTGCATGGAATTATAGAAATAACAGATAATATTGCTAATAGTTCAGCTTTATAGGAAGAGAGCCAATTAAAGATTTGGGCAGAAAAGTTTTATATAACTGAATTGTTGTGAATTTGAACCTAGCCAATACTCATAGAGTATTGGTCAGTACCAAGTTGTTTAACAGATCTATCAGTATAGAAGATAAATTCATATTGGGATGAGTTGGCTAATGCGATCTGGAAGAGCTGATGAGAAGCTTCATTGTTAAAGAAAATATTAAATAAAGAAGAGTCAATAACATTAATTAAGAGTGATGGTGGTATTTATAAAGGATGTTTGATATTAGTAGAATATATAAGGTCAGATTAAGTTGTTTGTTAGCTTTTTTTCTTTCCAAGAACTGAGTAGAAAGAATAGCAGATACTTTTAAAATACAATAGCTAGAAATAGAATTAGAGTTAAGGTTATAGTCTTGACAAGGTGTGCAAGAAATGGGAGGTAGTGGGTAATGATTAGAGATAGAAGTGTCAGTATTATATTGCTAATTTGTTATAGAGATAGTATTTGTTTGCGAAAAAGTTTTGCAAACTTGACCAATTACAATATATTTATTATAATAAAATAAAACCCAGGTTTGTGAGTTTTAGGAATAAGGTTGGTTTGATATGCAAAAGAGTTAGAGCTATTGGGCTAAAAAAGAGGTAGAATAGTGTATAATAGATTATTTTCAAGAATAGTATCTTCTAAATAATTAAACCAAAGTGGTTTTTTGTCTTTGGGAATATGTAAAATTCTAGGTGATAAGTGTAGCCAGTCTAACAAGGTCTTGTTGTCAGCTGAACAAAGTTGCTCTAGATATAAAATATTTTTGTATCTAAGTTGTTGTTTAAAAATATTATATTTAAAGTGATTAGAAAGAATGTTTTCAAGTGGAGTATTGCTATTATTTATAGTTTTGGGCCAAGAAAAATCTGAGTATGCATATATAGAGATGTGTGAGTAGTTAAAAAGTTGTATAATTTTTAGAGTAGTAGTGTATTTGTTAGGGTCATCAATAATAGAGTGGGGGTGTTAAAGAATGTTTATTGTAAACTAGAGGTTATTTTGAAGTTGTTGAAGTTGAATGTGTGTTGTAGTGCCAAGAGTAGAGGAGTTGTTAATCCAGTTAAGAAAATTGCTAATATGGTGTTGTAGTTGTATACTCCAAATATTGTAAATATTATAAAGATTGTAATTAAGAAGTGTGCTATTAGGAGTAGACTGAGAAAGATGTACTTTGCATTTAGCTATAGTAAGGTATTTGTTCAAGATTTGGTTGCATTTGTATAGAGGAATTATGATATTGTAAAGCCGATATTTAGTGGTTGGAATGATAACAGTGTTAATAATATAAATAATTTGTTTATTAGTTATATTTTTGGTGCTATGGTGTGCCAAGTCACTTCTCATTAAAAATCATGTTTATTTTAAAAATCTATAAAATCTTAAAGTTTAAATATTTTTTAAAAATATAACCGATAAAAACTATTGTTTTTTATTAGTACTATCCAAATTATCAGTTAGAATTTTTTAAAAAGTTTATGATTTAAAGTTTTAAATATTTAAAGCTATTATGCTTTCAAAATTTTGGCATTTAATATAAAAAATTTAAAAATTTTTTTTTTTATCCAATCATAATTAGTATATAACGCATTCTGATTGGCTAAATAGTATTTATATATACCCTAAATTTGGCGCATTTGATATGAAGTGACTTGGTGCACCATAGCAATATTGGCTAACTAAATACTGTATTACTGTATAATAATGTGCAGGGTGAAATTATGAATTTTGGCCTGAATTAAGCTTAATTTGGGCTGAACCTCAAAATAATGCTCATGAGCGTTATTATGCAAAAATACAGTAGCTTCATTTTGAATTAGTTTGATTTGTAAAAACTGCTTGTTGTTGAAGATGAACCAGTATTCCAGAAATTTAAAAAGTTGATGGGGTGGGATAAATTGCAAATCTGAGTTGAGAAATAACAAGTTAGAAGAGGATTCTGTAGAAATAAATATAGATTTAGTAGGATTGACTTGAATATTAGCTATAGAGTAAAAAAGAGGAAGTAGTTTTAGTAATTTCTTCAAGTTGTGTTTTGGATTGGGCAATCCATAATGTGTTATCCATATAGGCAAGAATTGAAATGGATATATTAAAATGATTTGTAAAAGGGTAGATAAGGCTAGTTTTTGATAAGAGGTAGAGAGTGTATATTCAGAGAAGTGTGTGAAAATATTGAAAATGAGAGGGTTGTAATAGATTCTCCAAAATAAAAGGGTAATAGTTTCACCTTGATTGATATTATTTTTAACCGAATAGAATTTGTAAAACCAAGATTAGTGATAAACACGGTTTGTGCAATCAAATAAAAGATTAGTTAAAATATTAATAAGCTGTTGAGGCATTTGGATTCAGTATAGAGATTTTTGAAATAAATCAAAATTGACTAAGTTATAAGCTTTGCTTATATCCTGAGAAAGGAGCCAGAGTTAGTTTGAATTACAGTTTGCATATTCTATTACATTATTAAGGATGTGAATAGATATAGAAGTAGAGTTACTAGGAAGTGCAACAAAATTAAATGGAAAAAGAATATTATATTGAGATAAAGTAAGATTAAGGCAGTTGGTAAAGAGTTTAGTATATAGCTTTTTAATATGTTCTATTAGGCTAATGGGTTTGGTATTAGATAAGTTACTATCAAAAATTGGTTTTTTAAAAATGGGAAAGATACGTCATTCTTTCTATTGTTTAGGTATAGTTTGAAAAAAAAAAACAACAATTGAAGAGAGATGTTATAGAAGTGATGAAGTTAGAGCCGGTGTGTTTTAACATTTCATAGCTAATATCTAATAGGCTACAAGCTTTGTTGTTAAGAAGTTGATTAATAATTAGCATAATTTTATCTTTGGTAAAGTTGATAAAAGTATTAAAATACTATGTAGAATTGATATTAGGTTTAGGATTATATTCTGCTTGCTATTGATTATTAGAGTTAATATGTCGAGAAGCAGTCCAGTTTCAAAGTGTTGTTGAATATAAGATTTAATTGTTGGAGAGTCTATAATAATATCATTATCTAGTCAATTATTTTAAAAAAACTCTTTCCAACGATCACTTGGACCAAAATTACCAACTAAAAGAAGAAATAAGAAGTCTGTTGGAGAGTTGTATAAACTATTAGAATGGTTTGTAGAAAGGTCAACTGGCTCTAGGAACTCCTTTCTATATTCGACATGCAAGCCAGAAGCCTCACTGAGTAACAGTGAAGAAAGCAGACAGCGCTTATTACTCAAGAATAAATTTTGGTGGATTTATTTGTCAACGAAGTTCTATAGTTACTGTTCTAAAGGTCTACAGTAGTGGTTTTTAGGGTACAACAAAGTAGTTAACCTTCTTCTTGGAGACTCCCTCCTATATTTAATATGCAAGCCAGAAGCCTAGAAACAGAAGTAAAAAAGCAGGTGGCGCTTACTGTGAATAGAAAAAATTTTGGTAGGCACAGACCTGTCGACGAAGCTACAAAGACCTTGGAACCCAGGTGTACAACAGTTATCTTATTTTTCTCAAGCCACACTCTTTTATTTGGCCAAGTAGTTCCTTCTTTTACTTTTACTCGCCTCCCTGTCGGTCTTCCAAAAATTTTTGTAAAAAGTGGGAGATTTGGCTTACCTCCTCCAAAAGATCGGCATTGTTTACAGTGAAACCTCTATAAATGCACCCTCTATAAATACACACCCTCTCTAAATGCACACTCAATATCTGGCCCAAATATATTCATGATCTCTATAAATACACTTTTTCTTATTGTTCTCTAAATGCACGTTGCTAAAATTCAGTCCCAAGAGCGTGCATTTATGGAGGTTTCACTGTATTAATATTTGCCTTATTACTCCTTATTACTATAAAAGGCAGTTGATTTCGGAGTATATGCATCAAAGCAAATAATAAATTAAATAGATATAAATCCCAAGCTATTGAACTTTCGGATTGCGGAGCGTGTGATCTTTTTTTTAAACAAAAATAAAAATAATCTACATTTTGCATTTTGTTTTTAATTAATACTGTGAATAATTTTGCATGCCCCAACGCTATGCATGATTGGTTGTACAATTTAAATGCCAATTAGCCCTTTATTACGAGGACAATTTTTTTGTATTTATTTATCCATTGCAAGTCTTCTGTTTACTTTCCGAACAATGAAATATTAGTATAAGTTTAGAAAATTATTGACTTTAAATGAATCTATTTTTTTGAACTTTATTTTATTTTACATAAAATGGTTCTTACAACTCTCTTCTGCTACTCCTGTTTTCTCATTTTGTTTATTGGAGAACTGAGTTTTCTAATATACAGAATCTATATAACAGAAGATTTAATTTCTCTTGCGGTTTTTGGTTCAGATGCCGTTATTCCATATCGTAGAGGTTCCTGGATTTCCACTCTTACATTGGTCTTAATGACAGGGTTATTTACTGTGAGTTGTAATTTTAGTAACAACAAATTTATTTGTAAGAATATATATATATACATTAATTATTTCTTATAGTTTTCATCGAAAACTATATTGCATGCATTTGTCTTTTTTTCCTCAAATTTAATGCCAATAGCACTATCAATTATAGATAAAGGTAACTGCTGCATCAATGAATCTAATGTACAGAGCATTATCGTATATTAATAAGTGAATAAAATCATTTCTCCTAACAAAACTACACTTCAAGTTGTACTAGATACATACAATAGCTATTTTTCAAGTCAAAATTTTCAATTTTTAAATCAAAAAAAATATGCTTCGATTTCAATATTAGTATTCTCCATTTTCCAAATTATTTACGCTTTTCTTATTAATATATTATGGTTAAAAAAGTAAGCCCAATTTAAGAAAAGTACTGACTGCTTGTTTTATCATTAATTCAGCATAAATTTAATTTTCTTACAGATACTGGAAGTTTCAGAGAAAATTAAAATACAATTTTAGCGCTGAAAAAAGAGGTAAACTTTTGACAAAATATTGTTGACATTTTGTTTCTTGCAAAATTTAATTTATTTTCAGCATTATTTTCTATGTATGAATGTGAGCTGATTCTGTACCAATTGACAATTGCTTTTATTTTTGCTCATATAATGAACAATATCTCGTCTGTCGTAATGGAGATGGTATCATTGCCATCACTAAGTGAACCTTTGTTCCCGTACATATTGTTTCCTTTACCAATAATATGTTTTCTGATTGTGGGGATATGTAATTAAAAGTTTCAGTTCAATTTGAAGGAATAATTAATTTCCTTATTTTCTTTAAAAAGGTCCAACGAGAATCCTATTTTCTTTTGTGTCTCTCACAATTGGCTATTTGTTCTCAAGCTTTTATAGAGTTCTTCAAAATAATTTCGCGCCTCAAATCAAATGAACTTATTTATTTTAATTATCTTATGCATCAACAGTACTTTTACAATTTTTTTTCAGGTAATTTTGCATTTTTAAAAATGGCAAAATGAATTTGATTATAATTAAAGATATGCAGTAATTTCATTTTATCAACTTAGGTTCTATTTGTATAGTTTTACTTGGTTTGTTGTTTTTACACACAATCAAATGTCAATGCAAGTTTGGAAAGGGTTTAAAATTTATATGTATGCTTTATGTATCAAATTTGGTCTTACTTGTTTTACATTTTACATTAATATAACTAAATATTTTTTTAGTGAAATATGAAAAAAAACCGAAAGAATTTGAATATAGTGAAGATGACGAGTTTTTAATGAAGGATGATGAGTACTTACCAGAAGATGATAATTTCTTTCACTTATTTTACAACACTATTTTGAATCCCATACGAGATTTGATGAGGAAGAATTGACTGAAAATTTTCTATAAAAATTATAAAAATTTTTTATTGAAATTTTTTTAAAAAGGGCTAACTCTGATACATATTTACATTATAATGCAATTAAACTTACGCCTAAACACTACATGTAAATGACATAATACTATTGTGATTTCAGCTTAATATATAGTTTGTATCTGTACTTTTATTAATATAATGAGTTGGCCATCATTAAAATTATATCATTAAATATTTTGAATTGGCTACACTTATTGAATATTATTAATTAGAAGTTCTCTAATATTATATATTAAATAACCTTAAATAATATTGTTTGTATTTTCCTAGACATTTAATATTATATTTTGGTTAGCACCTTATTTTTAAATTTTTAAAATAATACTGTGATTAGATTCAAACTCATGAAATCGTCTCATCGGACAGTTATTTTAATGGTAAATTAGATCACCAGAACAAATTTTATTTCTCATCAAACATTTAAGCTTTCATACATTTTGTAAAATTTATGAATGTCGAAATTTGAAAATTTTGGCCACTAATATGTAAATATGATTATAACTGAGATAATCAATGTGCACAATTTAGGATTCGTAATTTTACAGCACTCGTCAAAAGGATCCCGCATATGTAGAATTCCAAAGTCATGCATAACAAATTAACATTTTCTGTGCACAAAATAATGCACGAATTTGATCATATATATGTTTTACAAAAACGGTCAATACCCATATTATGTATTTATATGATTACAGCTTTTTACGTGCTCATATAACACGAAAATCGCACAAATGTTTATTGAATGAGTATATTTTAATAATGGCGCAATCAATTTCGATATTCAAGAGTTTTTTTTGAATTCAACATGCATGCAGAATTCAAAAAAGCCCTTAAGCATTGAAATTTATCATGCTGTTGCTGATACTTTCATTTCCTATTATAATAAAATTATCGACCATTACGAGCGCCCTGTACTTACATTATCCGATAAACTCATATGATCATGAAAAACTTTCTCTCTTATTTTTTTTCATGTGTTACGATGTAGTTATGTTTTTCCAATATTCAAAAAAAAAAAACTCAGCGAGTGACTCCCTATCAATCATGATCATAAATTGTCGGATAATGTATACTTCTTAGTTACTATTTATTTTAGCGATGAAAAATGACTAATGTGAAAATCTCATGGGACAAGTAAAGTGTGGTCGGTTGATAAATTATTAGCAACCAATTTTATGGTTTAATATATCTTTCGTATTACAGTATTCAATTCTTGAATGTGTGCCAGGTTGGTGGCGCATTAATCAGTCCAAATAATTTGCACCAATTAAAAAAGGGAATTGCTATTCGTACCCCCGTTTTTGCTATCCGTACCCCCCAGATATCAAAAAGTGCTTCAAAATATCTATTTTGAAGCACTTTTTGATATCTGGGGGGTACGAATAGCAATTCCCTTAAAAATTCTAATGATAACAACAATAAAATTATAAGTTTAATAGAACTAAAACACCATTTCTTAGCGTTATTTCTCTCGAAACATATTCATCAGTGTTGGAAATCTGGTTTGATAGTTTTGTTCTCATGAGATAATACTTATTTATGTTCTCAATCAGAAGAATTTATTCGTATCCCTATTTTTTGAATTCTTATTTCGGAAATATTCAAATTTTTGTCCCTTCTCGTTTTTATGTTCATTCCTTTTCTTTCTTGATAATCTCGAAATTTCTCTCTCTGACATTATGCTATTATTTTACTTATACTATACTTATATAGGAAACATATTCTTCGAGTATAATTTTTTTCATAGAGAATATTTACACAACATCAGATGTTCGCAAATCTAAAGGTATGAGAACATGAGAACATAAGATTTCCAACACTGATATTCATGTTATTTTCAAAAAAGCACGTTTCCCTTCATTTTTTTATAATCTTTAGCTCTAATATTACTGTTTTAAATTCAAATCACTACTCGTATTTTTTAATTTTTTAATGATTATAAATTATAGTTTTCAAAATTTTTACAGACCAGACGTCAAAATTCTTAATATAATACGAGTATAAGAAAAATATTGGCTTTAAAGGTATGATAATAAATCTCAAACAAACACGTACTATATAATTTATGAAAAAAATTCTTTAATAAAAAAAACTTTTCTCATCAACACTGAATCGTATCTTAAAAAAAGAATAATAGTGTGTTGCTTAATGTTAAAGACGATTCATTTTTAAACTATATTTTATCCCTTAGTCCGTTTTCGGGCAAATATGCCCCGAATTTCTGATTCCCGGCAAACTTTCCGTACCACCTCCAAAATTTATTAACAATAGCCCCCTATTGCTTGTATCACCATGTACGCATACATAACTGTAACACTAAAGTTGATACAGTACAGTACATATTTGCTGTAGATGATAACAGTAAGATTTAATAACCATCTAAAAATTATTTTTTAAAAATTTGAATAAGTAAAAAGCTATTAATACTATTAATAATAT